GGGTTGTCACCAGACCTGGTGAGTGAGTGAGGGGATGGTATAGTACTTAGCTCAGGTTGTCACCAGACCTGGTGAGTGAGTGAGGGGAAGTGGTAAATAGACTTAGCTTGGGTTGTCCCAGGCCTGGTGATGAAGTGAGGGGATGGTATAGTACCTTCCTTTGGGTTGCCACGCAGACCTGGTGAGTGAGCTGAGGGGATGGTATAGTAGCTTTAGGCTTGGGTGTCACCAGACCTGGTGAGTGAGTGAGGGGATGGTATAGTACTTAGCTTGGCTTGTCACCAGACCTGGTGAGTGAGTGAGGGGATGGTATAGTACTTAGCTCTAGCTCTGTCAGCAGGGACCTGGATGATGAGTGAGGGATGGTATATAGTGAAGTCTAGCTCGGGTTGTCACCAGACCTGGTTGAGTAGAGTGATGGGGATGGTATAAGTACTGTGACGCTCAGGCTTGTCAGCCACGACCTGGGATTGAGTGAGTGAGGGGATGGTATGTACTTAGCTCGGGTTGTCACCAGACTGGGTGAGTGAGCGCAGGGATGGTATAGCTACTTAGCTCAGCTTGTCACCAGACACTGGTGAGTGACTGAGGGGCATGGGTAAATAAGTACTTAGCTACAGCTTGTCCCCAGACCTGGTGAGTGAGTGAGGGGATGGTATGAGTACGTAGCCTCGGGTTGTCACGCCAGACTGGTGAGTGAGTGAGGGGATGGTATAGTACTTAGGCTCAGCTTTGTCACCAGACCTGGCTGAGTGAGTGAGACGGGGAATGGTAATATGTATAGCTTGCTTGTCACCAGACCTGGTGAGTGAGTGAGGGGGATGTAAAATAGGTACTTAAGCTTCAGAGCTTTGTGCACAGACCTGGTGAGTGAGTGAGAGGGGATGTATAGGGTACTTCGCCTGGGCTTGTCACGCAGACCTGGTGAGTGAGTGAGGAGGATGGTATAGGTAGCTTCGTAGGCTCGGGTTGTCCACAGCATCCGTGGTGAGTGAGTGGAGTGAGTGAGGCGGATGGTAATAGTACATGAATAGGCTGCAAGCTTGGGCAACCAGACCTGGTGAGTGAGTGAAGGGATGGTAATACGTACTTAGCTTGGTTTGTCACCACCAGACCTTGGGTGAGTGAGTGAGGGGGATGGTATAAGACTGTAGCTCGGGTTGTCAGCCCAGACCTGGTGAGGTGAGCGTGAGGGGATGGATACCTCTTGCCTCGGGTTGTCACCAGAACTTAGGGGTGAGTGGAGTGAGGTGAGGGATGGTACGTAGAGGTACTAGCTTGGGGTGGGGTTGTCACCAGACCTGGTGAGTGAGTGAGGGAATGGGTAATAGCGTAAACTGTAGCTTGGCGTTTCACCAACCTGGTGAAGTGGAGTGAGCGGGGATGGTATAGTACTAAGTAGCTTGGGGTGTGAAATCACCAAGTGGCACTGATGAGTGCAGTGAGTGGGGGTCAGTCGAGGCTGCTCGCGGGCGCGCGAGCGGCGGTCGGGAGCGGATCGGATGTAGCGCGCGTGGTCAGGGCCTGGCTGGGACGTGTCGAGAAGCCTCCCTGCGGCGCGGGCGGTACGGCTAGCAAGTTGATAATAGTCAAGAGTTCACTGGTGACTTAGTGGATGCGCCAGAATGTAAGGGACTATTTTGGGAAGCGCGATATAGGCCACGGAGCAGGAATGTGTGTAGGACTCGACGTGACCATCCGTGGAGTCATACGCTTGCCTGGGCTGGCAGTAGTATGCCGTGGGAAACGAAGTTAAGGTGAGTGTACCGAGCTGTATGACGAATGTGAGCAACAGGCACAGCAGCGCCTCTGTGGCCGGTTACGTGGAGATCTATAGCGGTCCGGGTCCAGCACGCTAACGAGGATCTCAAAGTAACATGGTAGGCTGTGAAGAATGCTACTGAGTCCGAACGGACACGCGCGTGGAGGTGAGTTTGCATAGATAATGGTAAAGGAAGTTGGAGAGTATACCGTCACGTCGATGCGTGTTATCAGGAGCATTGGGGTCTAGTGTAACTGTCCATGAGCAATATAGAGACCAAAAGCAGATCAACTTAGGCGTGTTACAGTCGCATTGGACGCAGGGATGTTTTTCTAGGAGGGCGTCTGGGAGATCTTGACGGCATGATTCCCGGCTGAAAGGACGAGATGGAGAGGCGCTGAGGATGTGATAGCTGCAGGAGGCGTGACAGAGTAGAATGCGGCTTGTTGGCTCTAAACATTGGTTTCGGAGTGAGGGTTGGTAAGGGGGTTTTGCTTAGTATAGTTGGACAGGATTATTGTGCATTTTGGGTGGCGGTCGCATTTTGCCGCAGCATTCTTTGAGGCATCCGGGATAAGATTGATGGGCATTAAGCCATGATTAAAAGTACTCCAGGTGCAGTGTTGGTGGTGTGCGCCGACGCCATACACCTAACGCCGAGTGTCAGAGTTAAGCCGATTTGGTTTGTGTCTCGAGCGGGCTGAGGCGGATTGGGAAATCAGTCCGATAGGGAGACGAGAGCTGGTTATAGAGGTATACGGGCGGTCCTTCCGAGCCAGCGCCACCCTGTCGTTTTGATTAGGTATGGTAGTTGAGGATTGCGGGAAGACGAAACGTGGGGGTTGTTAGGCCTATTAACTCGTTTGCGATAAAACTGGATACCGGTCTCTGGTCGAGGACTTGGATATTGGATTACAATGGACAGGAGTGATGAGATCGGTTGTCGAACTTAGTACCGGGCGATTGAGTACGAAAGGTACATTGCTTAGGTAAGATCAACGCTCATATGTCTGGACATTCGGACTAATCGTTATACGCACAGGTTGTACATATGCAGTCTGGGTAGGGAGCACGCACAGCAGTGGGAACACTGCCTGGGCCATGGCGGTCTGATCTATCTTCGCGCGCCACTCACGACGATCAGTGGGGACTCATCACCTTATTCACGCGTACAAGACACGGTTTATTTGAAGGGGATAGGAACACGGGCCCGGCTGATGGGAGCCCAGTTTATGTGGTGGTGATGGCTTGATTGTTCGGGATAATATTTATCACAGAGATCTGTGCCTTGATGAGGGAATGTTGATGTGCAGTGTACTGAGACGTGGCCACACCGATGAGTGGTACGGTGAGGGTTTGCGGTAGTACTGTATTTCGAGTGGGTTATATAGAGGATACGATTCTTCGAGCTGATATTGTAGAAGCTAGATAATGGCGCCGGGTCGGTGGGTCGTTGGATGTGATAGCAGTATTGAGGAGGATATTGGTTGAAGTAAGGGGATAAGCTGTGTATAAAAGATGACGTGAGATGATAGAGAGTTCGTGTTGTGGCAGGGTGGGGGTCAGTCATTAGAGGATGTAGTATTTAAGCTGATGCCGGTGATATTGAGTGGGCAGTCATAAGGCCTGGCGTTAGAAGAGTTTCAGTCGTAAGAGGGGGTTAAATTACTCTTAGCGGATGAAAAAGGTCAGCGAGATGAGGTTGAGCATGCTCATAGTGTAGTGGTAAGGTTTAGGCACTGGTAGGTTCGCGTGGGCAGGCGGAGAGGATATTGGGAGTGGGTCGGGTTGGGTTAGATAGGGAGGTCTTCTGTGGGGAGCGGCTAGGTTGAGACGGGATGGCGGGGGTGCGGGAGTGGTAGGAGGGGTTTGTGATCAGAGGTGTTAGGGGGGAGGCCATATCGTTTATAGTGGTGTAGATGGCTGGTGACGTCTGCCTTGGGGATGAGGGCATTGGGGGTGCAGGGGGTATCTGGCGTTATGTGAGGGGTGATGAGCATCGTGATAGGGCATAAAATATTATAAACGCGCGACGGGGTCAAGGAGTAGGGAGGTACGGGAGCCCCGCGGGGAGTGTGATTGATAGGCCGTGGCTTAAGGCTGTCTCAGTAGGGATGATATGGGCGTTGAAAGGGGGGGGATGTGTGATAATGCCGGGTCGTAACCGGTGGTGTCCGGAGGCGCCGGGCAAGGATCGGAGCAGGAGTATATTGGTGAGATGGGAGGGAGGTCGGGGCCAAATTTGATATTTGAAGCGGAAGGCGAGGGTGTCAGGGGACGTGCGTGGTGAGAGGCGGTGGATGGTGGGCATTAGGGCGGATGAGGAGGGGGCGTGCGACGGGAACGGTGAATGCTGCTGCTATGTTGGGGTGTGGCAGGAAGAGGGAAGTGAGGATGGCTGCAGGACGGTGGGCGGCGTGGCTTGAGCCGAGGGAGGAGAATGGGAGCGACGGGGGTGCAACCGGTGGGGACTATCGGGCGGTGATGGGGGTGTGGTGCGCTGTGGATGGGAGTAATGGGGCGGCAGGGAGCTGGGGGGGGTAGGGGACGGGGACGGAGGGGGGGGGTGGAGCGGTGGGCCTACGTGCGGTGTTTGGCGTGCCTTGGTGGGTCTACGGGTCAATTCCGAAAGCGGGGAAGGGGCGGTCGGGTGAATGATTTGGAGGGTATCTGTTGGGGGGATTGAACCGGGGATCGTTGGTGATCATGCGGGTGAAGTGGGGAGGCGAGCGATCGATGTGTTGCTCCTTGGTGCAGACGTGTCGGCGATGGGGGGAGGGGGGGGGGGAGCGGAGAGAGAGCAGGCTGTGAAGTCGGGGGTGCGGTGGAGGCGAGATGAGCTGGGAGGCGAGTCATGGTAGTGGGTCGATGTGTGGCCTTGGAGGCGGGAGACAGTGGAGGGTGGCGAGGTAAGGATCAGGTTGTAGGCGGTAGGCAGATCGGGAGCTATGATAGATGTAGTCGAGGGGGACATAATAGTATAAATGAGAGAGCGGAAGATGGCATGCGTCACTGGTGTAGGGGGGGTTGGCTAGAGTGGTTGATGGCGCCTTGAGTAGACGGGCATTAGATCCTTGCCTTGCGTGGAAAGGTATACATCATTGGGGAAATGGGACGGCACAGCAGCTCTGCTCTGTTTCTGGAGTAGTGTCGTTTTAGAGGGAGAATTACTCGCAAGTAACGTCAATAACTGTCAGCGTGATTCAGGGAGAGGACTNCCGGTTTGGTTTGTTGACAGGTAATTTGCATTCACGATCTGTGTCTATCTACCGCGTGCCACTACTGTGCGGGACCAGGGAGTCATCGACTATTTCCGCGAACGACTTAAGCTCACGTTTTGCACAAAACCCAAGCGATTTCTTAGCAAGTGGAAGGAGCTGGCAGAAAGGTGAGCACAGAGCTAATTAATATGGGAACCCGTGGCAAGTGTGGCGAGAGCGTAAATTTTTTTCATATATACTTATCTATCACATTAAATTGGGCGTTTTGTCGACGCATTTTATTCAGATAATAGATTATAGATCTTATATGAGCATTTTATTATAAAACATTGCCTACATAACGATAGAAACATGGAGATCTGCATCAGAGCTCTGCTAATTTGGGCGTTTTATGAATTTTGCGATTTGGCCGTTTTGCTAGGGGTCGTAATTTGGGCGGCCGGTATTCGGTATGAAAAATGGCCAGGATTAGGTCGTGGAGCAGGAAAGGGTTTGTATATATCATGTATAGAGGGTTGTGAGTATTTCCCTCTTGGGAAAAAAACATGAAAACATTTCATGTTTCATGAATAATAATTAAAGGAAATGTCCTGTTAATGTTTAGGAATTTTTATGGCGCATACGTGGAATTGTCCATAGATTATTTCATGGGTAGCATTTTACAGAGAATATACTGTTTATGTATCACCCATTAATTTTCATTTTGCAGGAGTTTCTTGGATGAAAACTGTTACACTTTTGGTACATGAAAATTTATGCATAATAATTCCTTTACATTTTATGTGCAAACCAGTCACAAAAATACCTGTCTGGGCAGGGTATTATATTCTATTATTTATGCATGAAACATGCAGGATTCATGCATGTACATATCTTTGAATATTCATGTTTTTTTCTCCAAAATGTAAACAGTGGCACCCCGATGTAACGCGAATTCGGTTATATAACATGAATTCGGATATAACGCGATCAGTCTCTGGACCGCCATTTTTTGCTCTTATAGTTATATAGCCACTTGTACATATATAACCCCGATTTATTTTTTATATTTTTTTTCGCAATGACATTTTATGGACCCCAACCATCGCGTTATAACGGGGCCACACTGTGTATGTTGTGTTTACTATATTTGTGGGATAACCTCACGTTGTTGTTTCAGACATGAGAAGCCATATGATGTCGTCAGCATTGCACTGGTCGGTAAATATACAGAGCTGGAAGATTCATACAATTCTGTGACAAAGGCACTGAGGCATTCCGCACTGGCCTGCAAAAGAAAGGTCGACATCAAGGTACATGCTACAGATGTATGTGTGTATGTGTGCGTGTGTGTGCGTGTGTGTCCGTGCGTGCGTGTGTGTGTATGTGTGCGCGTGCGCGTGCATTTCTGAATGCATTGAGGTTCCCATCATTCGCTACGCATGTGTTCTGATCTCTAATTTGAGTGCTGGGTTATGTACAGTTTATGAGGCAGATGATTTCTAATTTTAGTGCTGTTACTGTAACTTACAGTTTATTGAAGCAGATGATCTCTAATTTTAGTGCTGTTACTGTAACTTACAGTTTATTGAGGCAGATGATTTCTAATTTTAGTGCTGTTACTGTAACTTACAGTTTATTGAGGCAGATGATTTCTAATTTTAGTGCTGTTACTGTAACTTACAGTTTATTGAAGCAGATGATCTGGAGGATGCTGTTCAGAAGATGGATCCGATACGATTTCACAACGCATGGCAGAAGCTGTGTGCCAGTCTATGTAAAGTCAGTGGCTCGAAATAAGCGTTGCTCCGGTGTCCGAGACAACCAGCAATCTTGCCCGCCGGACAGACCTAACCAAGTCTGAAGCGACATTAGTCCGAGTGGACAATCCAAGAAACCCTAACACTAAACTCTTAACCGATTTCGGCTATATTAATATACGCAGTGGTAGCCGCACAATTAATTCTATGGTGTATATACTTTTTGCTGTTCAATATTTTGCGAATGCTGAACTGACAATCAATACCAACCAAACTGGTATAGGCTTAGCTGGCAAAATAATGTTCAGTTTCATAATCAATCTCAAGTGTTTTCTAGCCTCGATCAACGAAATCTTAATCCGTTCGAATATAAATCAGTGAAATAATATAAAAATATGGGACCAGCTGCTATTTTCCAAACATTGGTTTATAATATGTCAGGTTTCTGATTTAGTGAGAGGTTGAACTCGAACTTATTGGGAACCAGCAAACGCAGGCAAGTTTCAAATGTTTGCTGGGGAGGACGCCCCATAGCCCGCCGCACGCTTTTTTCACCCCCCTCCTTTGTGAATACCTAGGACGCCGCCACTGAACAAAGTTAACATATTCTTGGGAGCAGAGCAACAATGAACAAAGAAATGTTCGCCTTTCGCATGGCGCCGCACAAAGATTGCAGAGATTGAGAGGTGAGGACGCAGATAGGGTGTGGAGAGGGCGCGGAGAGCCAAGTTAATTATTAAGTCATCCACTATTTTGCGCAGTTCAGCCTGTTTTTGGCCGCCCTTGCTTAAAAAAATCCTGCGTACGCCACTGTTTTTGGTGTTTCTTGATCATTATCATTATTATGTTGATTTGAAATAAGGAGATTTGGGCGACATTTTTTGAGACAACCAGAAATTTGTTGCGGACAACCGCATTTTGATGCCGGGGTTAGTCCGCAGGACAACCCACTTTTTTTTTCTTTATTTCTGAGCACGTAAGTTTTGTCATATAGAGCACCGAAAGCGTGGATGTCACCAGTGGCCATGACAAACGAACCCACTTGGTCTTAAACAATCATTCGGCCTTCGTAACATTAACTGCATGAAATTGGTGGTGTGCGTACCGTAAAACACGAATGTAGTGCGCTTGCAGACAGCGGTATTAAAAGCATCCGTAGCAACGTCGATCTGTACAACAATTTGATTTCATCAATTCAAAATGCCTAGAAAAAAAACATATCTGCATTACTTGCATACGCCATTATCAACTTAATCGATCTGTATGCTTTTCACTTCCATACCTTTTGCGAATTCCCAATTAAAATGGCAAAATAATGACTGTTCAGAATGTGATTTTCACAATTTGGGTCACAAAACACGCGACCATTTCAAGCAGTTAATGATTACGGCGCCCAATGATTGTTTAAGTAACCAGTTGGCTCTGTTGTCATTGCCACCGGCTGATGTCATTCACTATCGCAGTTCTATTGGCAGTAAATACACCGAGTGATACCAGCGGCTCTCAGTTTCGGAGTTTCAGCATTAAATTGGTTTGTTAAGCGGTGTCTTTAATTTCAGAAGGGAGAAGCTTAAAGAGAGCACTTCTTATGTAGCCGGTCTAGGGTCGCATTTTACATGGACATACAACTAGTACCGTTACTGTATCAACAAATCGTCGCGTCACGATTCATTGCATGAGGTACCCTTTCACATGTACTTTGTCACCAGATACGTTTATTAATTATTTACACTGCACTTGGATCCAACGCTCCGAAATATGAAGCTTTCTTTCGGCGCCCCGATGACACCCACCCCGGCAGGACCGCTGCTTGCCAACCCTACAAAAGTTAGCGTATTTTGCATTTTTATTTTGCACGGTAAGATGACCGAGTGGGCTAATCCAAAAAAAAGCTGCTCAATTAGTATTTATTGATCTAAATTGCTAGTTTAAGCCGACACGATATTCATTTGGTTAGGGACAAATTTATCCATATTATAACTGAAACTATATGTCCCGTTTATAGATATTATCCATCCTTTTGCTTTTAAATGAATCAAATTAAGATAAATACCCTCGGTCTTGATAGCCCTTGGGCCTGGGAAGGGTCCAGTTTGCGCAACTTTCTCAGATCCGTGCCGCTGTTAGAGCTGGGGGTGGACGCCACCGTCGTTGTATCAAACTTGTGGAGTCGTTAGTTTTAAAACATTTTTTTAAAAATAAATTTTAATTGTGATTGAAAGAAAAAAAGAAAAAAAAAATAACAAAAAAAAAAAAAAAAAAAAAAAAAAAAGGGGAAAAAAAAAAAAATCATGTGAAACTTTTTATTCTGTAGCGCATTTTATAACCTTAAATAGCTGAAATAACCCGCTACAGGAACCTAGGGCAGGCTACGTTCCTTTAAAGTCTTACTACATGTGCATAGATGGACAGATTTTAGATCATTGGTAGGAAGTTGCAGAGATCTAAGATACAATAGCCGTGTATGTTGAATGCCATGTGTGAGGGGTATACATAGTTATGTATGTGAATGCCATGTGTAAAGGTATACATAGCCCATGTATGTGAATGGTCATGGCTGTAAGTAGATATACATAGTATGTATGCGGGTGAAATGCCAGTGCTGTAAGAGTACTTATCACTATAGCTATGTTATGTTGAAATTGCCATGTTTTGTAAGATTATACTATAGCCAAATGTATGGTGAATGCCATGTGATAAGTAATTACGATGAGCTTATGTATTCCTAGAGCATGAATCTGTACGTATTTTAAACGCTGGGAATGTCAATGATTTTAAGTTGTGTTGATTAGAGGTATAAATAGCCGGGTGTCATGTGAATCCGATGTGTAAGCTATTACAGTATGTAGGTGAAATGCCATGATGTAAGACTAATACAGTAGCCATGTATGTGAATGCCAGGTGTGTAAGNTGTATGTGAATGCCATGTGTAAGTATACATAGCTATGTATGTGAATGCCATGTGTAAGTATACATAGCTATGTATGTGAATGCCATGTGTAAGTATACATAGCTATGTATGTGAATGCCATGTCTAAGTATACATAGCTATGTATGTGAATGCCATGTGTAAGTATACATAGCTATGTATGTGAATGCCATGTGTAAGTATACATAGCCATGTATGTGAATGCCATGTGTAAGTATACATAGCCATGTATGTGAATGTCATGTGTAAGTATACATAGCTATGTATGTCAGGGTTCTCCCCAG